TTTCACCCAATGCAACAGCTCTGGCTCCAGTTGTGGGCACAGAGCATATATGGCTCCCGCTCCAGCCCTAGCCAGGCAGCACTGGTGGCAGTGGCAACTCCCCTGCTGCTGCATGGTCTCCAGTGTGCTTCCCTTTGGCTGTACCATGCTATTTCCCCTGTGCTGCATACCATGTGGTCTCTCTCTGTTCCCATCCCCTGCAGCATGCAATCTCTCTGGGGTCAGAGCTGGCGCCAGAGCTGTAGCAGCCTTCTGTCCAGAACCATATTCAAATATAAGACAAGGGTTCTTTTTCCCTGTGTTGAATGGGGGAAAAAAGCCTTGGCTTGTCTTGGATATGGGTAAGTATGGTAAACGGTACAATCAGTGTTACTCTTTCTGGATCCTGATCTCTTTACCCAGCCTTTTTGGCTGTGTAGTTCTGTGCTAATCCTAAAGGCAGAGCACAAACCGTGTTGGTACAGTGCCTATGGTCGACTGCGACTCTTAGATGCTACTGCAAAGCAATAAGCGTCATTATGGCTAGGGACAGACATTACACATAAACCGATTTAAGTGATCAGAAACTGGTTTAAACCTGTAACAGAACAGATGTTCAGTGCACATAAACCAGTTTGCAAATGACTGAAACTGGTTTGAGATAAGTCTGGTTGAATGTAGCATCAGATTTAACTAATTTGGGTCAAACTGGTTTATGTAATGTCTATCCTAGACCCCTTGCTGGTTTAAGTTAAACCAGACTCCCCCAGCATCCTGGCATGCTCTCTTGGCTGGGCGGGGCTCTGTTCCACAGCAGGGCTGGGCCTGCCCCTCTGCTCCCTGGCTGCAGGTCCAGCAGAGACTGTGGGCTGCTTCCCCCCTCCCCTTGCCCCTCCCTGCTAAGCAGGAATTTCCCCTTCCCCTCTGCCTCACTCAGGAGGTATGTGTGTATTAGCTAGCAGACCAAATGCTGCCTACCATCTGTGCTGGAATCAACCAGTAGAATCAACAGGCAAGATCAACAGGTAGCTGATAATAACTCTCTGTTGTTTTCTTAATGGGGTGATAAACATAGATATCAATTCCCTGCTGGGCTGCTCACTGCTGGGACCTGGCCACGCTCCCTCAACTCAGCACTGAGAAGAAGGGAAGGGAAGGGAAGGCAGCTCTAGCACCCCCCAGCTTCTAACCTGAGCCACTGCAGGCATGCGGCAGCATGGCTGGGATGTCGTTGCAATTACACACCGGATCAGTTTAGCCAGGTTAGACTAACCTGCAAAGATTGAATCAATTAAGGCTCAGGCTTTTTGAATGTCTGTCCCTAGCCTACCAGGCTAGCATGTAAGGGTGTTAGAGGCATAATCATTTTCCATGTCCCTGTTTGTAAGAACTCCTTCCAGAGCTGCACACAGAGCAGCTGTTTAAAGTCTCTGACTTCTCTTACCATTATCCCCACAATGGCTGTAAGCATGGTGAAGGGTAGAACTAGGGAAGATTGTTGCCAGTTCTGCACTTTCAGGTCTTAAGATTAAACAAATAGAAATGCCAGAGTGAGTTATGACTCAAACTAGATAGTGTGAGCAGAGAGCACTGATATCATTACAGGATTAGGGGGAAGTGGAAAAGGGAAACTGGATATAAAGAAATTATTTTAGAATAAAGGGGGATTGGGTTCTGAAAATCAGGGAAAAGGAAGACCCATCTTATTTTCCCTCCTCCCCCATTCTAATTCTGTGGTTTGCTTTATGCAGGTCAGACTAGATGATCTTAGTGGTCCCTTCTGATGTTACAATGTCTGGCTGCAATGCAAAAATTACTTCTTAGGCTGCTTTCAAAATCAGTAATCACCAAAACAAACAGCCATCTCCTCTGCCACCCCGACTCACGAAATAGCCCTAAAGACATAATTACTGAGACCCAGCACTATCAGCAAAATCATTTACAAAAAGACAGAAAAGCAAAACATCCCTGGAGAAAAGATTCTGAAGTATTTGAGTCTTTCAAGCTTTTTCAGTTGTAAATTTGATGCAGAGGAGACCCAGAGGAAGTTACAGAGAATCATGGGAAACAAGATATAAATGAGACTTTCCATATTAAGTTCACTTTTACCTAGGGGACAAAGTGTGTTCTGTGAAATTTAAGCAGAAAATACTTAATTCCCTGAGACTGTATTAAAGCTGAAACAGAAGCAGAGGATTCTGAGAAGGAACAAGAGGCTTGATGATAGTTTGCAAGAGCAGAGAGAAAAAAGAGTTTGGGGCTTGGCTTTGTGGAAAATTAATGCGGGACTTCTGTCTGATTATTTTGACTTTTTTTTTTTTTTTCAAATATTGAAAATAAGCCTGATAGTAGGAAAAAAATCTTAAAGTATGAGTGCCTTTGGTACAGCAGGACATCTGTATGCATACTCCATCTTAGCTGTGTTGCATACCTCTTGCCTCCCCTCCCCACCCGCACTAGCTACAAGGGAACAAGCTGCAAGGGAATAGCCTGATCTTGTTACCTGTGGGAGGTGTCAGGAGAAAAGCTTAGCAAATAGGTCTTGGTGCAGTTAGCTGCATCCCAGGAAAAGAACCAGACCTCCCCACCTCCTTGCATGAGAGAGGCCTCAACGTAGCCAATGAACCTGAAACAGCTTACTGGCTGCCTGAGGGCAGCCCTGAAACAATCAGACCCTGGAAGAACAACTGGAAAACTGCTCAGTTGAAAATAGGCCTTAACTAGAGGGGCAGAGTTGTGCTTGAAGGGTCAGCTCCTCATTTTCTGTTACTCTGGGACTTTGACCTTCCAGAAGGGGTTGAACTGCAAATAGTCTTTGCAAAAGGACTGAGGCTACAAGATCAGACTCTCAGGGTGGGTGAGAACTGTAGTACCCTGTTGAGCCACTAGGGGTGCCTTCGAGGTTAACCATGCCACAAAACCTGAAACACCACCACAACTAGGAGAGATGGGAGCACTTTATAGTGAGCGAACTCATGGTTATCTACCAAGACTTCTCTCTCTCTGTGGACCCCCAGTTCATAGCACTGAGTTTAAGTATGCAATGTAACTTTTTTTGACTCCCTCCATATGTTCTAGAAAAACAATTTGCTTGTTGTGATCAAATTCTCTATTTCATTTGTAAATCATTAAAAAATATATGTAATAAGCAACATGTTTCTGAATGAAAGCATGCTTTCCAGGTAGTTGGCTGAAATTTTTCCCTCAAAATTGAATTTTTTGGTAAAAAAAAAAAAAAACACTGGGAAATTTTTGGTCAGATAAATGCAGCTTCCTATTTAAACATCACCATCATAATTTCCTCATATGTAATCATTTATCTTCTATTAGTACTGTGTAGAATAGAGTAGGTCATTCTGTTAGGCATGTTGTCTTCCTAAGTAACACTTCAGCAGCTAGTATTTAGCATTTTTTTTATGATCAAAATATGTTGCTATGAATGATCCATTATCCCTTTTTCAGCAGCTAGGAGGACAGATAATTTTGAATTAAACTTTGTTAGCTGCCAACCAGATTTTTGGTGTCCTTAGGGACAGATACCGAAAAGGACTTTTTAGAAATTGTATGAGTAGATTGAAAGTATCTGGAATTTGATGATAATCAGTTTAGTGTTGGTACAGTTTGATATAAGGGGATTTTTTTTGATGGAAAGGATTACAAGTACAATGCTGCATATTGTGACTTTCCTGTTCATAACCTATTTATCCCAGCATGTATTTGCTACACATTTTTGCAGTAAAAAACCCCTACCAGCTGGTACTTCCAAAAATATTTAAAAACTCATCAAATAAAATACACAAAACTAAAGAAAAAGAAATAAAAAACAATCTGGATATCCAAAACCAAGGTTCCCTCTAAGGTGCGCGCATGCGCGGCCATGCACAACTAAAAGTCTGGCCACGCACAGCCCTTTCAAGGCCGCGCTCCGGGAGAGGAGCTTAAGGTAGGCTCTGAGGCGAGGTGGAGGCGGGGCTCTGGCGCGGGCTCCGTTGGCTCCGGGGAACTGCTTTGCTCCCCCGCGTCATCTCAGGGAGTGAGGAGGCATGTGGCTTCAGGGCCTGGGAGTGGAGCAGTTCCCCGGAGCCAGTGGAGCCTCACTTGGGGCAGGCAGTGCCTCCTCCCCGAGGTGAGGCAAGGTAGGGTTGGGGCTGGGGGCTGGCATGGGCTCCTCTGGCTCTGGGCAACTGCTCTGCGGCCTCTGCCAGCTCCAGGGAAGTGCTCCATTCCCCAGCCCTGATGCCATGTGCCTCCTTGCTCCCTGAGGTGAAACGGGGGAGCAGAGCAGTTCCCCAGAGCTGGCAGAGCCTGCGCTGGCCCAGCCTCTGGCTCCGGCCCCCAGCCTTGGCCCTAGCCCTCAGCCCCCTTCAGTAAGTGTCCCATGGCAGACCAAGGCGGTGTGCTCATGGGCCGCTACTCTTTAGAGGGAACATGGCCCAAAACTAAGGAA